TAGCAGCTGGCACGTCAACACATACATCAACAATAGCAATAGCTGCAGTAGTAATGTGGATTAAGATAATATTAATAATATTATTATAATTATTAATGATAATTTTCGTCGTCATGATATACTTAAACATTCGAATAATCATAATTTGTTATAATAAATAACCAGAAAAAATAATTTTTGACAACGGTAATTCCAAATTACATTTCTCTTATTGCAACGTCAGTAATGATTTCCATGTTCCAGCTCGTCACATTTGACAATGCGTGCATGACGTCAGAGCGAGCACGTGATCATGACAACGTTGTTTGTCAACAAACCGCCTCATATTATCGAAATGATGACGACGACGACGATGAGTTTTTCATATTTCAATGAAAATTTCGTTTTTCATATTTAATACTATTATTTTTTAATATTTTTAATTAATTTATTGTTTGTTTTATGAAAAATTTTTTGAAAAAATACATTTTATGTTAATTTTCTTGTTTTACGGGTTTTTATACTTTGAAATATTTTATAGAAATTTATTTTCACAGGTTCTTAATTTGATTTTTTAATTGAATTTTGTTTTTTTTCAGTCTTCTGTCAACAAATTTTGTATGAATTTTTTATTTATTACTTTGTCTTCAGTTTTGTTTGATGTTTCCCGCTGCCCTGTCATGTATTTTTTTCTTCACACTGGAGACTACTTGTAGATTTGATTGGCATATGTAATTTATAACATTTTATGGTTTGCTGTCTTGGCAAATTTCGTCATACGCCTGAATGACAGGCAATGCAAATGCGATAACAATTCCACCAAACACACACACGCGCACACACACATGCAAACATGAACACACACACATACATACATATGCACACAAGTACAGACAGATACGCATACACATCCATACTTAAACAATTTCATAGAAGCCCGCACCCAATTTTAATCGTCATTAAACCACGGCATTAACAATAGGGAATTTTTTAAAACGAAAATACACATAGAAACAAATGAATTAAAATAATATGTGTGTGTGCGTGTATGTCTGCAATTATGTCTGTGTGTATGTTTGTGTTTGCGGGTATGTGTGTGTCAGTGTGTGCTTGTGAGTGAGTGTGTGTTTGTATATGTTTTCTATGTGTGTATTGCCTTATAAATTTTCTTCCTCATGCATATTTTGCTGTTTCGCCTGTCGACTGTCCCATCATTGAGAATGAATTGTTGGGCGCGTAGATTGCTGCAGGACTGTTGAATATATTATACATTCTCTGACTGACCACTATGTCCACTTTCAGATTTTTTTAATTTTTTTCTTGATAAGAAACATTTCTGCAATGTGTGAAGAACAATTTTTGTTGGAGAAAGAAAAAAATGGTCAACTATTTGTTTCTTGCGAAGAAAGTTTTGGCTTTTTTGAAATATTTTGGACATATATTATCGAAATTCATTCTAAAATATTATTTTTATCGTTCATTAATATTATTTCTATTATTGTTTTCATTGGCGTTTTACATGCATTGAAAATATAATTAAATAATTTGTTGATTATTAATTAATTAATCAACAATTCAAATTTTTAAATAATGCTGCGATATGATGTGATACTGCATTTATAAAATGCATCAAGTGAATTGCAAACATTCATGTCAAAAATCGAACCTTTTTTTAATGGATACATGTGGAAATGTATATGTAGTACACATGTACTGTACATGTACGAACTTTGTCATTTCGTTGAATTTTTCAGATATGTTCTGTTCTTACTTTACTTATCTATTATAATATTTTCTCATCAACAAATTTTTTGAAAGGTTTTATTTTAATAAAAATGTTAAATTGAAATGAAAAATTAAAATTAAAAAAAATTGTTGAGCGAATAAAAACAAATAAGTCGAATGCGTGTTGAACATATTATAATTATTTCTGGATTAACTAAATGCTCTTGTGTTTGTTGTTTTGTGGGTTGTTGGTAATGATGTGGTTGTTGTTGTTGTTGTTGTTGTTGTTGTTGTTCCTCTCAATACTTCCTTCAGATATCGAAGATATTGATGTCGCCGTTTGTTCTACTAATGTTATTTTGTTGTTTAATATGTTTACATTTGTGTTGTTGTTGATTGTTATGCTTTATGATTGTTTGTGATTTTGATATATTTCATCGTTGCTTCAGTTGTTCTTGATAATCTTACGGTTGTTAATGTTTACTAGTCGTCTTGGTTGTTGTTTTTGATGTTGTTGATTGTTATTGTTGATGTTGTTTGTTGTTGTTGTGGTTGTCAGTGGAACATGGCAAGTCACGCATAGAACGCACATGTATTTCAGACAAGCAAGTTGACAGGTTGTTGTTGTTGTAGTCGCTCCTGACGATTGAAACACGCCATCTTACATATAAATAATGCCTCTTACGCTGTGTATTTATTGTGTTTCTACACGTGGTTGCGAATGTTATTGTGTGTATGCGTGCGTGTGAGTATGTATATGTGTGAATGTATGTGTGTGTATGTGTGTTATACTTGCATACATGTCTGGGTGTAATCTTCAGTGTATGCTGTTGATGTTTGTTGGTCATGTACGAACTTAAGACATCAACTTATTGTATTTTATTCTGCTCAGGTTTTTGTTTAGGGTTAGCAATTTGTTTGAAGATTTTGTTTGGAAAACACAAGAATATATATTAAAAAAACTCAACTTTGAGTTTTGTTCAAATCACAATTTCTATTTATTATTGAAAATTTTTTTCAATCTACGATATTCTCCACTAAATATGCTTATTCTGCCACATTGAGAATACCGACAGCAAAAAGTCAAACAAAATTCATCAAAGATTATCTATTAATTCTTTTCCTGTTATTTTCTTTTTTTTTGGTTTTGTTAGTTCATTTTTTTAATTTTAAATTACTGCGACGCATTCTTTCAATCAATTCTCAAATGAACGAACTTTAAGTTGAGAAATTCTTTTCAATCCTGAAAAATTTTTCAGGTAATTAAAATAATTTTCGTACTTCAAACAAATTCTAAGATTAATAAGTTTTTTTCATTGCTTGGAACAAATTTCTTTTTAAAATTAAAAGACAAATATTTTCTCACTGTAGCGCTTTATTTATAAAAGATGAACAATCCTATTAAAATTGAAGAAGATTCATCCACCATCCATCCATCAATCTACCCATCCATTCATCTATCTATCCATCTATCCATTCATCCATCCATTCATTCATTCATTTATCCATCCATCCACCCATCCACCATCCATCCATTTATTCATCCGTCCACCATAAACTCACGCTGAAAAATTGTTCACTCAAAGTTTTTAATCTTCAAACCACGCGCACGTCCCTTTTACTGCTGCATTATCCTGATGATGATGATGATGATGAAGATGATGATGTTGATGATGATGTTGAATATGCTGTTGGTGATGATGACGATGATGATGGATGAAATGATGAAAACGATAATGAAATTCATAACCTCATGGAAACTCATTTCAAACTTTTTAAATTCCTTTACTCAAAGAAATAAAATTTTAGGCGAAAAAATGAACAGGGAAAAATTGGAGAATCGAGTAAGTAAATGAGGAAGAAGGAAAGGGAGTTAGTGAAAAAATAGACGAAATGGAAAGAGAGAGAGAGAGAGAGAGAGAGAGAGAGAGAGAGAGAGAGAGGGAGAAAGAGAAAGAAATATATGAGACATTGTGTCGTAGAGGAGTTTAATGATGAAAAGCGTGCAGCAGCTGATTATGATCGATCGTTTCATGCACACACTTGTTAACGCTTCCCGGATTATTCATTCATCTGGCGTTAGAAGCCGATGTGGTTGTTGTTGTTGTTGTCGCTCGCTTCTGTCGTCGTTGCTTTGGCCGTTGTTGTCGTTACATCGTGTATGTGCTGCTAATGGTTACTGAAGAAACTTTTACAATTTTATTAAATTTTATTTTATTAAATTTTATTTAATCAATTTTTAATTTGATTGTCAACATTTTTAAGAAGACGATAAAAATAATCGTGAGATGTTTTTGATGATGACATGAATGATGATGATGAGGTTTGTGGTGAAGGTAAACATGCTGGCGTCACAAAAAATAAACAAACGTAATAGGCACTGACACTTATCGAATGTATTTGCTCTAACTAGTAGTAGAATAAGATATAATCATTGATGATAATAAAAAATAATTCACACATAACCTCAGCGGTGAGGTCAGTGATAGTCAGGTCAGGTAATTTTTTTTAAATTTCTTAAAGGACACATAATAAAAATAAATATCTATTTTCATTGTTACAATATTTGAAGTCTAGATTCAAAAATAGTTGAAACGACAAGGTTAAATGTGACGATTAAAATGATGTTAACTGCGACGACGACGATGATGATAAAGATGACGATAATTATGATAATGATGAGGATTATGATGATGATGAAGAGAACGATGGTGTTAGAGGATTTCACAATTTTCAACCACCAAGACAGATTTCAAGCAAACATTTGCAATGAAATGGCATCGGAAGGCCCTATAAAAAATTCACGACGAGAAAAAAACCCGTGGTTAAAACTAGAAATAATGATAGCAATAATGGTGTCGATAATGACGATGGCTCTTATAATGATAATCGTTATGATCATCATGATGTTAATGAGGAACATGTTACCGAAGAACACGTTAATGAGGAATATGTTAATGAGGAACATGTTAATGAGGAATATGTTAATAAGGAGTATGTTAATGAGGAACATGTGAATGAAGAATATGTTAATGAGGAGTATGTTAATGAGGAACATGTTACCGAAAAACATGTTAATGAGGTATATGTTAATGAGGAATATGTTGAGGAATTATGTTAATGAGAAACATGTTACCGAAGAACATGTTAATGAGGAATATGTTAATGAGGGGTACTTTAATGAAGGATAGGATAGTGTTAATAAGAAATAAATAAATGAGGAATATGCTAATGGGAAATATGTTAATTATAGCAATGACATTAATTACTGCACTGAACCAACCTTTTTAAAAATGGCTCTAGATGATTATGAGGATAACGACATAACATGATTAAAAGAGAACGGTCATTCTCTGTCAACTTGAATGATTTAAAAAAAAGTTTAAATATTTTTATAAATTTTATAGAGGTATTTCGATTATTTTATAGATGTATTTCAATTATTTTATATAGATATTTCAATTATTTTATAGAGTTATTTCAGATTATGTGACATATCCTCCAATTTCGTTGAAATCTCTTTTCAAATTTTTGATCTATGGATTTTGGCTTGGACACTGGCCAGTTTAAAAAGACAGGACATCCTCAAAATGTTTTAAAATTGGTAATGTTTCTCTAATGATCATAGCAAGAATGCTGATGCGTATGTGTGTGGTGTTATCTGGTGTTGTGTGTGGCACTGTGCGTGGTGTGGTGTGTGGTGTGTGATGTGTGGAATAAAAAATTTAATGATGTTGTTGACGAGGGTATGATCGATATTGCTGATGAAAATGATGATGGCATTGGCCACGAATACGATAACGAGTTGATGATGATGATGATGATGATGATGATGATGATGATGATGATGGCGACTATGATGATGATGTTAATAATTCTGTCACCTCAATAATGCAACCGTGTTGAAAATTTTAATTAATTTCTACGTGAAGTTTATTACTGGCGCTAGTGTTGTTTGTGTGGCTCTGCCGTTGTTGTTGTTGTCATGATTCTCGATGTTGTAGTTGTTCTTGAGGCGTTTGTCTTTCCGTTTGCGATAATAACGTTGTTGTTTCTGTTGTTGTTGCTGCTGTTTGTTTTTTTTTGTTGTAGGGTTTTTTAGTTTTGTTATTATTGTTGAAAGTTAAAGAGGTGCTAACATTGCTTTTGTTGTGCTGTTGTATGCTTATGTGTTGTTGTATATTGTTCAGCTTTTTGATGTTTTCATAGAAATTTTTGTTTTTTCATTTGTTTTGCAATGTTTGTGTACTGTTTCTTTTCATCTCTAAATGTGCAACGTGCTTAACTAAGTAAAATTCCTTTTAAAGTAATAATATGTCTCTCTTGTTGTGACAATATTGTTGACGTTGTTTCAGCGGGTGCTTTTAGTAGTGAATGTTTATTTCTTTTCAACATGAAAAAAAAAATTTCATTTCAGTTGTGAAATATTGACAGTTTCTGATGCTACGATTGAATTTTGAATTTACTGACTTTTATATTGGTTTTAATTCCTATATTTGCATTCCTATTTGGCAGGACCAACATTTGCTACAAAATTTCATCCCAAAATTTTTAACAAATTGTCCTATAAAAACAGTTGTGTTTTCTGAAAAGTTCAACTGAATTATATTCTTGTGTGTGGAATCTAAAAAGCTTTTTAAAACAAATATTACAAAATTATACAGAAATTCTGTTCAACATAACTCTATCAAAGTTTTCCATTGTGTAGGGCTTGCCTCACACAATGGAAACCTCCACCCCTTTATCTACGATTCTGGTTGGTATGTTGCAACAATTTTTTGTTATTGCTGTTCTAATAATAGCTCTGAAAATGAAAAGAATGGAAAATGGAAATTCCACATCTGTCATCTGAAGCCTGCCTGCCTTAAATATTTTTATCATCTATTATTCTTTTGCTTGCTGTCTGGTCGATATTTTTTAATTATCACTTTTTTGTGATCCATGATAAATGAATGACGCGTTTGATAAATTGCCCATCGCTCACATATCAACATATCGCAACATACATTCATTTGTATATCATTTATTGGAAAATATGGAAATGTATAAAAACCAGATTTTACATATTCCTATAAATATAATGCTTCCTTTTCTATCAAACATTTCTTCAGACCGTTTTTTTTGTATTAAAACTTACTTAATCAAAAAATTTACGACAACAAATTGCATTTCGCACTCTTCTTTTCATTGTTGTACATTTTCACTAAAATATCTTTAACATTTTTCACCAGAACCAATTTTAGTTGGTTGTATGTGCCTTATAAGAGTTTTTATAACAATGCCCATTCAAATCTCAAATTTCGTTTAGTTATACACAACTTTTTCGGAGAAGCGTATTTTTAAAAATTGATTCGTTCTTACATGTGTTTCTTTCAGAGTGATTAACAACAACGTACACCGTCGGTCAACGTGTACGTGCGTAATTACGTATCACACATTTTTTTGGTAGGAAGAAATCTCTGACAGCACAACAGTGCCCAGCCCAGTACCTTAACCATCCCAACATCGCGCCGCCAATTGGAAAATAAGAATTAGGATTTCTAATAAAATTTTATAATTCTTTTCTAAATAAATAAATGAAATAACTATTTTCGCGTAAAATTGGAAAAAAACAGAAAACTTTCTCCAAAATTTTGTTTCTCAAAAACCTTCCGATTTAATTTTTTCTTCACTTAAAATCCATTATGTATTTTTGACACATTTGAATAATTTTCATTTTTCGTTTGCAAATTTTAATGCAATGAATTTTTCTCTCTTACATTTTTCCTACTCCGTCCGCAAATTTTTAACGGCAACGTTTCCCCAGCACGTACATGTACATTTCCATCATTTAAATATTCTTTCATGATTAATAGATGTCTGTTTGCCGGCGCGCGCGTGTGTGTGTGTGTATCGGTGTTTGTGTCGATGTTCAGATTTTTTTTAATTTAACAATATCATTTTAGTTTTTGAACAAATTATTTTTTAATATTTTCTGATTTGTTTTTTATAACGCATTTATTCTTCTATATGATTTTGTTGGAATTAAAAGCTTATGCTTGTGGTTAAGACTATTATAAAATGTTTTATTTTTAAATTAATTTTTCAACAAAATAATGTTGAATAAACTTTTTATTTGACGTTTCAATAATTTAGTTCTTCTAAATTTATGACCCACACATAAAATAAAATGTTTTACATTCGGATTTTTATTTATCATTTCAATCAATCTTACAATTTTATCAATTTTTAAAACAAACACAATTCATTTTGAAAGCATATATTAAAATCATAAAAATTCATGTTTTGAATTTAAATTATTCAAGTTATACCTAAAACCGTGTATGTTTTAAACAGTGAAAAACAATGACTGCCGACACAATATTTGAGATTTGAATGGTAACAAAATTCCACCTGAAAATTGTCAATTTGTGAAAAAAAGAACGGGTAACAGTTATTTTAAAACATATATACCTACCATTTTTCTGACAAAGTTATTCATGTGATGGAATTTCGGTGTAGTTGGCTTGGTCGCTTTCTGGATATTTGCCACCAAATAATAATAATTAGGATTTATTCACATAGATTTTATGACTAAATATTATAGAGTAATAAATTACATTATCGTTGTAATTAATTTAGCCCAAAAAATGTTCATCGTCGCCATCCTTACATTTATGATCAATGTCATTATTGTAATCATCATCCCCATGTTCGTCATAATATAAACCTACCTAGTGATTGCCAGCATGGTTTCACCAACTTCTCATCCACCACCAGACCGCACCATGTCACACCACACCATACCACAGAATGCTACACCACGCCACACTACATTATCACCAGCGACACCTTTTCCAGCTCCATTATCACATTTATTTTTATCATCACCATCTACTCATCGTCTATATCAGCAGTGCGACTTTGGAAAATCCGTAGTATTCCTCGCCAACACAACCACCGACATCAACAAAAGGATTAAAACAATCACTATGATAGCCATAATTGTTGACATTATTTTAATTATCATTATCATCATTAAAGGTTAAAGGTTAAAGGTCATTCTTTCTAGCGCACTTGCTTCAGAGGTATCAACAGCAATCATAAACAACGTGAAAACCACGTATCACAGACATTGCGTGTGATATGCTGAGATCTGTCTGCATATGAACACAGTCGTTTCAACGGTAGAAGCAAACACCCTTTACTATCGTTCAATTATTATTACATCAACATTTTCGCCATCATCATAATTATTAGCACATTTTCATCATCACCGTCGTTGTCATCATCTTCCTCCTCATCGTCTTCCTCCTCATTGTCATCCCCATCGTTTGGAAATGGATGTACCTATGCAATCGCACTGTTTATTACAAATTCATGTCCATTTAGAATATTAGCGGGAACGTAGACTGTTAAATGGCTGGCTTGGCTTGGCATGGGATGGTTGGTTGGATTGGGATGGTAGGATCGGCATGGCATGGTAGTGTGGTCGGTGTTGTATTGTGTGGTGTTGTGTGGTTTGGTTAGTTTTATACTATTTCCAAGTAATGGTAGGCTACTTCAAGATATTTTTTATTTTTTAAAGTGTTTTCAATTGTTTTTCTATTCATTTCATTTCTTCTATTTGAAGATTCTTTGGACGTGACACAATTTCATTAACAACTCAGTCAAGTTTGACAATTATTGTTTAAAACTATTTCAAAGTGTTTTACTTAGTTTTAGAATAATTAACTTAAAATCTGCAGTTGTTATTTTGAGAAATTGACGTCTTAATTTTATTTCAAATGTTAATATTTAAAGAAAATTCAAGAAAAATCAAAATTAAAACTTCTTTTGAGTGCTTGAATGATTCATCAATTTATTTTATAACGTTTTTCGTTCACAAGCGTATATTACTCAAATATCATTATCACCACAACATCTATAAAGATATATAAGATTAGATATATATATATATATATATATATATCTAAGATAAGATATATATATCTTCTGGTGTATCATTAATATCATAATGTCTTTATTTATATCATTTTGATCATTATATCTTATACACATCCTTATTATCATTACATCATATGAATTTATTAGAGGCTAATTTCCAAAAAATAAACTCCTTGGCTTGATGATTACGAAGAC